AAATGTTTTCAAATAATTCCTATTAAACTATTAGATAAGTTAAATCTCGAGTTAAAGTCAAAGATATCGAATCAAGTTTGAAACTTATTTAAAAAAAATAAATTCAATTAAGTTGTTGTGATGATGTTATAACATTTTTCACGTATAATCATATTCTTAGACTTAGTTTTAACTTCGTAAATTAAAATCTATTTTTTCAAAGATATTCAAATCAAGTTTGAAACTTTTTTTAAAAATAAATAAATTCAATTAGGTAATTAATTACATATATAAAAAAAATTAGCAACAATTCCTAAAATTATGTCTAATGATAAATTCACGATCTTACACGTAATAGCAATAATTAAAACATTGAAAGGAATTTTAACAAAAAAGAAAAATACGCAAATATTAATTATTTATATAATATAATAAAGTCGGTTGTAGCATTTTCACAAATAATCCATTAATAAAATCGCTGTCAAGGAATTTGCCATTTAACCAAATTAATTTGTAATATTGTAGGTTGTCGTAATACATAATCATGTGAAATCGGACAATTTTTCATATAGAGGGCAAGCGTCCTGTATCCTCAACTTCCATCACTATAAAATATAACCAACACAGCTCTATTTTATTTATTTTATAAATATATTGCTTTCAAAGAAAATAATTCTCAATTATTATTATATAATAATTTTGAACAGTTAAAATAAGAATTATTATCAACAAACAATTACACACATAATATTCTGCACCAAAAAAAATTACATACTTAATATTGAATTTAAGAATTGAAACATGAAAATAAATTTCAACAAAAACATTAAAAAGAAAAAGGAAACACAAAAATATTATGTAAATAATATAATGGACTGTGGCAATTTTAAAAATAATCACAATTAAATCGTTAATTAAAGTTAAATAGTTAAAACGATTAAAATTACAATTCTATTTTAAATTTTTATTAGTATTAATATAAGAATTGGATCAGAACGTAATTAATTAAAATAACATAAAATAAAATTATTAATTAATTATAATACTATTTTTTATAAATATTAAATAAAAATAATTAAAAATTACAGATGAGATTTTAAAAATATAATGAACAATTATATCTGTTTTTGCTAGTTCAAAAATTTTTTATATTGGTACTTATTTATATTGCAAATAACATATTATATAATTATAAATTATTTATAGATTAGAGTCCTAATAATATTTCTTCATATAATTTACAATTTAAACAATAAGAAAAGCTTTATGAAATGAATTTACACATTTTATCGTTGAAAACTCCTAATTAAAATGGTTTGATTGAAAAAATAAAAAAAAAAGTAATGGCGCCAAAAATTAAATTTAATAATTTATCTCGAAGGCGCCAAACTTTGAAGTTCGGTTATAGAAACCGAACTCACCGAAGAACACGAGACAATCTCATTCGGTTCGGTACTTCCGATTTACGAAACAAGTTCAATCTTTTATTAAATTATTATAAAGTTGTAAGAAACCCTAAAAATATTGTCGGGTCAGGAATCCGAGACACTAAAAAGTTAATTGAAGTTATCTTTATTTTTCCATCGTGCTTGCTTCCTTTCTCTGTCGACGCTCTCAATATTTTCTCGGTAGTCTTTCGTGGTCAAGCCATCAACAGCTCTTCTCCTTCTGAGTTAGTTTTTAAGGTAAAATTCTCATCTGGGTTCCTTTTATTTTGTTTATTTTCTAGCAAATCCTGTTTTCTGGTTGTTTTTGTCAAAGAAACCCAAATCTTTTGTTTGTTAGTCTATAGATTTTCCCACTGTCCCCTCATTTCCTTAATTTTCCTTTCTCACCTTCCCTTCAATCCAAATGAAATGAAATATCAATTCATTTCTATCATGTTTGTTGTCGACCTGCCTTGCTTTTTCGATACTTAACAGCTCATTGTAACCCTTTCAAACCCCAACTGATCTTTGAACCTGATGTGATGATTGAAGAACTCTAGTACAGACTTTTTTGGAGTACGGATGAGGAAAAGTAGGTGATCTCTAGTTTCTTCTTGATTGTTACAACAAGGCATGTAGAAATTTGGGACCTTTTGACCCTAGAACTCAATCTCTGCAACGTGGGCAGTTTATCAAGTATTGCCATCCGATCAATGATGCAATATCTGTTGGGATGTGAAACTGCAGAATCAGTATGTGACAATTGAACCATGCCTTCTTATGTCATATTATTACCAAATGTATTCTGTTTTGAACCAAATAATAGTTCCGTACAACTGATAGCTTTCAACTCCTTTAAAATGCTACATACAGCAAAATAGAATATCCTGTTGTATATATTGATTGAATTACACATAATCTTTGCAACTTTTCATTTTAATGGTGGTTTACTTGGAATTGTTAATCGTTCTATTCACCAGTACTTGAGGGGTTCATTGTTCTTTCCTGCAATTATTTTCTTATTCATGCATAAGATCTATTAACGAACTGAATCAGTTAGTCAATCAACATTCACATAAAAGATTAGCTAACCAATCAACATTCACATGAAAGATTAGCTAACCAGATACAGGATTTTAAGGCTTTAGAACAGATATTGTGTAATTAAATTTGACTAATCCAGTTTGATGAGACTCTAAATGTTTGTTACTTGGATTATATGAATTGTGTTATCTTTTAATTGAATAGGTAAATATGGAAGACAAGGATTCAGATATGCAGGATACCGAGCCTTCAGTAGAGAAAAGTTTAAATTATGAAAGAGAGCTCATTCCAGATGTAGAGAGTAGCTCTGATATTCCTGAAATTGACCATGAATGTTTTAGCGTGGCTTTTACTAAGATGTTTATAATTGATGAGTTGCCTTTTAAGTTAGTGGAGAGTGAAAGATTCAAAAATTTCATGAGTGCTATCAAACCTAGGTTTCAATTACCCTCACGCACTACACTAATCAAGGAATGTTATCGGGTCTACATAGATGAGAAGTCTAAATTGAAGGAGCTGTTACGCAATGTAGGTTCCTGTATTTGTCTCAGCATAAATACGTGGACTTCTGCACAAAGCCTTTCTTATTTATGTATAAATGCACATTTCATCGATGTGGATTGGAAGTTGCATAAAAAGATTTTGAACTTTTCTCTGATTTCCAATGACAAAGGTAACGAGATTGGCAGATTAGTTGAATTGTGTGTTTTTCATTGGGGAATTAAGAATGTGGGCACAGTTACAGTGGAAAATTCTGGTTCAAATGATGTTGCCATGCATTATTTGAGAGAGAATCTTCATAGGAAGAATTATATTCTTTTCGGTGGCGAGTTCTTCCATATTAAATGTTTGACTAATATCTTGAGCTTAGCTGTGAGAGATTGTTTAGATGAAGCACAGACATCATTGGCTCGAATTCGTGATGCAGTGAAGTATGTAAGAAGCTCTACAAGTCGAGCTGAAAAGTTCAAGTGTTGTATTGTAACAGAAGGAATTACTTGTAGCAGTTTTATTTGTTTAGATGTTGAAACTAAATGGAATTCAACATACTTTATGCTAGATTCTGCATTGAACTTCCAGAAGGCATTTGAGATGCTCGAAGAGGATGATCCAGAATTTGTGAATGCTCTTGCCGATGGGGCTCCCACCATTCACGATTGGAATAAGGCACGTGCTTTACTCAAGTTTTTGGAGATATTCTGTGATGCTTCTATGCAATTGTCAGGTTCTTATGTTACATCCAGTTTGTATTTTCATCATGTTTGTTTCATTCAAGGTACTTTGGATGAATGGGCCAAGAGTTCAGAGGAGTGCCTTCAATTGATGGCCTTAAAAATGAAGGAAAAGTTTACCAAGTACTGGGGCAGCATAGATGAAATTAATTTGTTTCTGTTAATCGCAGTGGCATTAGATCCACGTTATAAATTGAATTTTTTGAGATTCGGCTTAACTCAAGTCTATCCTGCTGAGCCTGAGAAAATTGAAAGTTTGATTAATAAGGTCATTGATACCATGAAAAGGTTGTTTGATTATTACAAGAAAATTGACTCAACAAGTTTGAATACAAGTGCTAAGGCTCAAGATTCGTTGAAGATGAATGTTGATCAACCAATTGGAGGTGGTCCTAGAGTTGTGAAATCTCTCAAACTTGAATGGAAGAGGTACCGGGAAGAACAGGAAATAGCTCGACGTGAGTTGGAACTGCAGCAATATTTGGAGGATGGTTCTGAGCCGGTAGAAGAAGATGAGGACTTTGATATTTTGTCTTGGTGGAAGACAGATGGTCGAAGGTATCGAGTTCTTTCGAAGATTGCTAAAGATGTTTTCAGTATCCCTGTTTCAACCTTAGATTCTGAATCAGCTTGTAGTTTTGGAGATCTTGCACTTAGCAAATTTCATAGTTCTCTTACTCCAACAATTCTAGAGAGTCTAATTTGCGCAAAAAGTTGGTTTCAAAGTTCACCACTACCAAATCAAGTCGAAGAGGACATGGAAGAGTTGAAAAAGCTGGAAAACCTTGACTCTGGTAGCCATTTATCTGTCTTTTACCATTGATATAAATTATTTTAAGGATTAGTATTAAGTTTACAGCTCCAATTTGACTGACTTTTTTTTCCAGTTATCGAGGATTTGGAAGCTGCTGGGGGACCTTCATCTTTCCAGGATTGACCTTTCATTTCATAAGGTTCATTTATTTTGAACTCTGTCTAAACTATCTGGTTACGACATTGTATTGGTACTGTTAATTTCTTGTGGAACTTTGTTTCCCTATCGTTGTGTTAGTTTCCATGCAGACAAGGAAATATTTACGTTAAAAACTGTTTGAAATCAGTGTCTGATCAGATTTTATGAAAATTCTCCTTCCTGAAACTATTCCATTGAAACTTGCTTGCTCTTTTTTTTTTTTTTTAGTTCAAACAAGGCCGTAGCCTAGGAATAGAGAAAGGGGTTGCAGCCTTGCAGGTGCTGGGATTTGAAAAACTTGGGATTCATTAAAATTCATTATTCAGGCTGTTTAGAGTTTCTGAAAACCCATACTGGAACTGGGATTCATTAATCTCCTTAAGGTAGTTCTGAGGGCACCGTTTTTGTTGTTTCGAATATCTGCTTTTGATATTCAATATTACAATCAATTACATTATATATAATTTTATCAATGCTACTAATACATTATGTGAGCTCTGAATCCGAAATCTCTATTCTGGCTTGTGAAGATGATGAAGGACGTACAATGAAGCAGATGACAGGAAAATACAAACAGAATAACTAAGTAGATCCATACCAGTGGCTATTGTCACCATCTTGCTTCTTTCAAACATCTTCACTAAAAGAATCATGACTATAACATGTCCCACTTTAGTTTTTAGTTCATCCAGGGAACTTATTTTCATCCATTTTGGCCTCTCCTGCGAACCGATGATGGTCAATTATTCAGTTTATCACTTGAGAAGTGGACTACGAATTAAGAGCTAGCAGAAAAATACAAACAATGGAAAATGCAAAGATTTTAATAAGACTTTGTAGTCGCAAGTAATCATCAATGTGTGAGGCACTATAGATATTACTGATTTATTTACTAAGGATTCAATTGGGTGGTTCGTAAAATAGGCTCTGATGATATTAAAAATAGACGATGAAATTAGATGAGATTAGATTTGTAACATAAAAATTAGAATCAGCGGCGATAATTTACGTTAGGATACAAACATTTTTTATTTTTATACTAAGACGACTGCCCAATTGTTTACTAGACCCTTTTCTCTCCCATCTGTCATCGGGATCGGGGCAATTGCACCGTGGGATGCTATCCAAATGTATTTGGCTGGAGTTAGCCCAAAAAGGAAATTTAGATTACACCGCGTCGGAGAATCCAAACAAGCACTAAGTTGAGATCAGCTTCCACCAGAAGGTGCAAAAATAAATTTGGAAGCAAAGGTTGATCCTGGCCCTTAATGGGTTAAGATTGTTTGTGGTTTTCCATTGAATATAACATGTCCTCGAGATTAGCAGGGTTGACTGGAATATCGAGATGGATATGACCGTGCAAGAAATGGAGCTATTTGCTACAAGGTGAAGTTACAGTACTAGAGAACGGTTAGCTGAAGTTAATAAAGCAGTCCTGGTTGGGTTCTGAAGGGTGTTACCTTCAAAGCAAACATTCCAAACAAGGATGAGCCTTTGAGGGCACGGTCAGCAACGGCGGGCACATTTGGATTCACATTACTAATGAATAATCCATATAAGCCCATACCAAAAATTAACATGACTGTCCCAGCAAGATAAACATCTGCAACATTACAAATTATAATATCAGTTCCTTTGCCATTTGGCACTGGGAAGCCTATGAAGTAAAATAAGAAGCCAAAAATATGGGAAAACTACTTGAGGCTAACCAAGTTCATGCTAGAGAAAAACTGAAAAATTGCGGGGTGCTGCAAGTTAGCACATTATTTATTATGGCATTGACAGAACTTCAAGTGTTTAAAAGGGAGCAAAGAAAACAGTTTCAATGTTTGAAATAAACTGAGACAGGGCTTCAGATAAGGTCAAAACAATCTTTTTTCAATTAACTTTTGGAAAACTTACCAATTGCTTCAACCAATCGAAGAACCATCTTCCCTGAGTGAATCCCTTTAACACAGCTTGTCCAATAGATTTTGTAAGCATCAACTATGTAAACACAGCCCTGCAGATGGTCAGAACTAATCAGTAAGTATATTCAGTTAGACATGAGACATGTTTTATCTTTAAAATAAGAGGAAATTTTTTTGCTTCTCCTGCAATATTTTTAAAAGATAGATTCTGGGAATCAGAAAGTACATTTAGAAAGCATAACAGTGAACCGGCCAACGAACCTCCAATAGCCAGAAGTGCCAGGAAGCGGAAGTCAAAAATTGCCTGCAGATCAAGAAAAATTTTGTCTATAAACTAATATAGGCTTCGGGAAAACTAGTATAGCTCATGAATTCTACAAATAACAGAGCTGAATCTTTAACCAAAAGGGCAGCAGAGTGAAGTAAACAATAACCAAAATTCAATCAATACCTTTTCAATGTTGGACTCAGTGGAACGAGCAAAACCAAGGAAGAGATTACCATTAGGAGTGGCTAGTGCATAGTTAAAGCTGGTAGGATCATCGGGTCTTGATGATTCAATAAAGGGTTTTGGATGTTGAGTTTTAGATGACAAAGTACTTTCACTACTTGAAGGAGGAATTGCTGCTACTGCCGGAAGTGATGATGATGATGGTTCAGAAGAGGAGCTTAAAGTAGCAAAATTAGGGGAACAATGATGACGGCGGTGGAAATTAGTGGTTAAAGGGCGGCGAGTAGTGGTGGAGATGAAGAGTGGATGGCTAAAGACTGAAACAGAAGAGAGAGCCATGGAGGAGAGGGAGAGAGAGAGAGAAAGAAAGGGGGAGATTTTTCTTTGGAGATTTCAGACAAGACGGGTTTTATTGTGTGGGTTTTCTTTGTTGGGAGTGTGTTGCTTCGTAGGTTTTCATGAGTTGGAATCAAATCATGGATGGCGGGTAGTGGAAGATAACGGTAAATTACAAAAGTTGGTTGGGCCTACGTAAAAGGTTGAGGACTAGAGGCTTTAGCACAGCCTTACATTGGTAAAATGGCTGATTTCCTTTGTTTTTTTGGTGTTATTCAATGATAGTTTGGACTTTGGACCAGTTCTCACGAATTCATACATATACATGAAAATAATAATACTCACGTGTTTGCGTGTAAATAACAGATGTTAGAGATGTGTGGCTAATGAACCCAGAGTGTACCTCAGTTGATTCATGCAGTCCCTTAAGAGGTGGCATATAATAGATATGGAGTTTGAATCTTAGAACCTGTAACTGCTTCCCCTATCCGTAGGCTATGGTCTCCTATGTACAAAAAAAAAAAAAAAAAAAGAGAGAGATGTGGCCAATGCACATGTACTAGCATTTGAGAATTCTTCAGCTTGTGGAAGATATCCTTTAGTTGACAGAGTTGTGCACTGTTCAGAAGTCGTGCTGGCTTTGCATGAGCTTTACCCTGCTCTTATTCTTCCTGAAAAGTAAGTTTGAAGGATATGAATTTATTGCATGAAAACTTTTCATCATTGGCAGATGCAACTAAGGTTCCATTATTTTCCAAATTTGCCTTTGTGCATTGCAATTTGTGCTTTCATTCATTTTTGTTCCATGGATTTTACATTCCCATCCAATTTTTTTTAGATCTAAAGATCTTTAGGTTCTTTAATGAGGACATGATCCTATTCATTTGCGTTCAACATGAAAGTTTCGTATCTTTTTTTTTTTTTTTTTTTTTCCATTTTTCTGCTTTTAGAGGCAAATATCAGTAAATGTATGTTCTTTGTAGAGTCTGTTACCTTATCTGATTTATTTCTATATCAATAGCACCCATGTTGGGGTCAAGGAGTCATGTTTGCAATTGTAGCCCCATGATTATGTATTATTAACAGTAGCTAGTAACTTTTGCAAATGTGCTGGTGAGAAGCTAGTTATGCCAGTCTTTCAGGTGTCCAAGGACAGAGCGAAAAGTCTAGTTGTTAACTTTTTTTTTTTTTGCACAAAGAAGGCGGCATCCTGAGAATAAAGGAAGGGGTTACAGCCTTATAGTTGTTGAGATTTGAATTTAGACTTGCTGGATGTCACTTCTTAAGGTGGTTGCATGAATTAACTGAACTAAACTCTAGATTCGTTTAGGTGTTAACTTTACCCCCAGGAGGTGAGTTATTTTGAATGTCATATCTGCTGTGTTGGTTGCTGTCCATATGCTTGTTATGTTTAGTTGTAAGCTTGTAAATTGTAATAGTTAGATACAAGTCAGGATACGTACAACAAACATGTTCGTGTAGAATGCTTATTAACTTTTATTCAACTGAATAAGTTGCCCTTCCCTCTTTCATTTTGTATCAATATATTAGTTGGAACTTGAAGAAATGACATTAGCATTTGGAGTAACTTTGAGAAACGCCATTCAACATTTAAACAACTATTAAAATTGATTTAGTACCCAAAAGAAAGGTATACAATCAAGTATGTTTCCCATTCAACTTATTCCATGCATTATATTAGTAGCCGACCAGCAGAAAACAGAACGCCAGCTTGCACTTGATGAAGCAAATGAAAAGCTTCATCATTTTTTCAGGGCAGACCTACTTGATGCGGGATCTTTTGATACTGTGATTGATGGATGCATAGGTGTTTTCCATACAGTTCCCCCTTCCCCCCTTTTTATTTTTCTCAAAATGTCAAGGATCCACAGCTAATTCTCCCTTGTAGAACTGTATAGCTTTCCCAAGATGTAACTTGACGTAAGATCATTTCCCTATTTTGGTAGGCACCAGCCAGCTTGTTCAAACAGTTTATTCAATATACAAACCAAGCCAGAACCTCTCAGGGAAAGGTCAGTTTCATTCGCAGCAAGATGATTTAAAGAAACAAGGACAGTTATCTAAACCATTTAAGACAAAATATCCAAAGCTTAAGCTCCAAAATTTATAAGGACATCATGAAGCTGCAGGCTAGAAAGATTCCACCAAGTCCAGCTCATTGAAGGTGTGCAGATTTGAATCTAGGTATTCCAAGTACTTGAGTTTTAGTAATGAAGGACTACTAGCTCGAACCAAGTTCCAAAAACCATACCTGCTTGAAGATTCAGAATTTATGGGGTACAGATTGCGAGGATCAATCATGACCAATTCACCACAGGTCCACTGTTGTTGTTGAAACCAATTCCTTGCCACTGACAGAAGTTGCTTCCTTGCCATGATCCACATGAAAGCCTGTTTTCAGGATTATTAAGGTCATTTCCGAAGTCAAAAAGAGCTTCAGGGTCCAATTCAGAGCAAATAGAAGCGGATGCACTTGTTAAGACACATAGAACTACCAACATAAGGCCAACAACCCTGGATTTTTCTATTTCCAATACAAGCAACAAATACTTTTGAACTCAAGCTTTGAGCATAACAAGAAAACCACTATCTCTTCCTTATATAGTCTGCATTTTCTTGATACGCAAGAAAACCAGAGGTTTTTTGGGAATGTTCACAAAAAACAGATGAGTAACCAAAAAAAAAAAAAGGAAAAATCTTTTATCCAAAGTCAATGAACCAACCAGACATTAAAATATACATTCTAGGAGATGTGTTAACAGTTAACATTTTAGATAATAATGAACACTAGATCATGCAAAATGCAACTGCCTTTAAGAAATGAAATCCAGTAAATTTGAGTTCAAATTTCAACATCTGCAATCTTTTTTTTTTGCTCCCAACTGCAAAACATTGTAGATAATATAATATGTTAATTTAGAGCAGGGAATTTCGAACACTCAAACACCGTTGACAGTCAAAGGTTGCTGATCTTATTAAAAAGAAAGTTGCAGCAAAAAGTTAGAGATGTAGCTGTCAAGAAAGTTTAATAAAATAGTTTGTATGTTTCATAAACAACTTGGCTAATACTCCAGAAACCAGAAGTCAAGTTCCGAGATCAGTTGCATTGGGTACTGGCTGTTCTGTTTACCACAGCGTTGAGTCCTAAGTTTTCCAAACAAAAAATTTAACCACTTTTAAGTTTTTGACATATAGTAAAATGCTTATATGGTAGAATCATATTCCCACTTTTTCAAATGACCAAATTCAAGTTTCTCCTTTCATTTTCACCTTCCATTTAATCCAACATATATAAACCCTTTACTTTCAGAGCAAGAATGCATTTTTCAGAAATCTACTTAGTGAAGAAAGATAAAGGGTTACAAATATCACTTAAACTATAATGAAATGTTAATTGGTATGTGAAGCTTTATACTTAAATATGAATCTATTTACTAATATAATACTCGTCTCTAACGCGATTAGCTCCCAATGATTATACTTGATAGATAAATAATCTTTCAAGTAGCACATTAATTAATAAATTTATAATTCAGACATTACATTAAAGAATATTAAAATTTAGATGTCACAATAAATGTTTCACTATAATTCAAGATTATCCGTAACATTAACTCAAAGATAAATTATGTGATTACTTTTTCAAAATGTTAGTATATGGTTGGATATATAAACCTCCAATGATACCGTTTCAGGAAAATTGTCAGCATCAGTGCTTCATATATATAATATATAATATATAAATAATGTAAACCTCCAGCGTTCTAAACAAAGACAAGAGACAAGTGACAACCAATGGCCGGAGAGAGGGAGTTGGCTAGCCTTTGTTTTTATAGATGCAACATGCAAGTTGCAACATGATTTAAACAGAAGGAGAAAGGGAGATAGGTGAGAGAGAAAACAAAGATGAGTGAAGCAGAGAAGGTGGTTTGTCTAACAGGAGCATCAGGTTTCATAGCTTCATGGATGGTTAAGTTTTTACTCCAACGTGGTTACACTGTCAAAGCCTCTGTTCGTGACCCAAGTCAGTGCTAATCTTTCCCCAACTTTCTCTTTTGTTTACTCTCAAACTAGGCACTTCATGCATCTAATTACTTATGAATACCTATTTGTTTTGGGGTGCTTATTGGTGATATTGTGTTGCACAATGGGCCGTAACCTCTCCATATGCTATCTCGTCCATCTTATACCTATAAGATGAAGGCTTGGGTGTGATGTTTTCAGGAGTTCCATGGGTGTTAATCGGAGAGAATATGATTTCAAGACCTGCTGCAAATGCCAATTTCCTTTAAATTTATTTTACCTCATCATTGATGGTGTGCACCAGGACGATTCGAATAGCTATAGGATACAATAAAGCCCTTGTTTGACTTCACTTTGCACTAATAAAATAAAACCTTTAAAGACTTCATAATGAGCGGCGAAATTATCTTTTTTATACATTATTTTCTGTAGAGAATAAAGTATAATAGCCTTTATCTATGTGAGAAAAGTTTCTAGAGTGAATGGATTTTTTCATCAATTAATGGAATGATTTTTCTCTTAGGCTCTGTGGTTTGGTAAATATTCAACTCTTTCCAAATGATAAAGAGTTTACTACAATTGATGTTAATACAAAAATATGATTCTCCATTCAACTTATTTCTTAGATGACCCGAAGAAAACCGATCACTTGCTTGCACTTGATGGAGCAAATGAAAGACTTCATTTGTTCAAAGCAGAGCTATTGGATGAGGGAGGTTATGATTCTGTGGTTGATGGATGCATAGGTGTTTTCCATGTAGCGTCTCCTTGTTATTTCAATGTCAAGGACCCTCAGGTAATTCTCCTTTGTCCTCACTCTCTAATTTCAGGTTTAGATTGACAATATTTGCAATTGCTTATGAGAATTATAATTGCTAAAACAGTTGCAATTTGCTCACAAGTCTTTTCTGTAATTAGAAATGTTTTGGCTGCCTTTTAAATACAGAAAACAAGGCAGTAGACCATCTAGAATTTGATTCTGATTGGCTAGTAGCATTTGACTCTATTTGTTAACATTTTCACTTTAACAATGGCATAACAAAATCCTGATTGTTTGACGAATTGTCTGCATTTGTTTCCAGGCTGAAATGATTGACCCTGCAGTGAAAGGAACACTTAATGTTCTTAGATCATGTGCTAAAGTTCCATCCATCAAAAGGGTAATTATAACTTCCTCTCTTGGATCAGTTGTTTTCACTGGAAAACCTCTTGCTGATAATGTCATAGTTGATGAGACTTGGTTCTCGGATCCTGTTATTTGTGAGAAATCAGAGGTGAGTAAATGTGATAGTTTCTTATTGTTGTCATGCATCATGGCTTTCGGTTATACCTCTCAAAATGCTAGGGAGTTTTAGGTGCTTAAGTATTGTTAACTACTACTGATGCGAATTTGCTGCCTCAATGACTTTGAAAATCGATCAAGATTAATTGTTTGATAGCTCTTGGGGAGAAACTGAATCCAAGAAATTGCTCTTCCGACTGGCTATGATAAAATTGAAAAGCGTTGTCATTCACAATTCTAAACTGAAATGTCATAATTCTCTGATATGCTTACTGTCTTTTCCCTTTTCCAATTGTTCGTTAATCATGTTTCATCTGCCATCAGCTTTGGTATATGCTTTCTAAGACCTTAGCTGAGAAGGCAGCCTGGAAGTTTGCAGAAGAGAATGGTATTGACATGATCACAATACATCCTGGGATGGTGTGTGGACCTCTTTTACAGCCAACTCTTAATGCAAGTCTGGAGCTAATTCTGAACCTTATAGGTAGTACCCTCCAAACAGTTTACAGCTATGGTTTATGTTCAATTTTATTTTTTTTATCAATTATACATGAAAGTGACTATGGGAAAAAGACATATGAATTATTGAAGATTGTATTCCTTGATTATTTTTCTGTTATAGCCTTATTTCATTTTGTTATCATGAACTGAGGTTGCAATAAATAAGAAGTTTTGGACAAAGAAAGATCAGAAAAGAAACTTAACCTAGGACATAACATTACTTAAATCTCTAAAATTCCATTAAATATTAACAATCAACCTAATTCTTAATCTTTATGCCAACAAAAATGTGGTCGGTTGATACAGTACTGGACTCTTAGTTCCAGTGATGAAAGATCAAACCCTGACAAAGTCAAATATAAAAAAAATCTTACTCTTTAACATACCCTTCATGCAGGGGCTGAAAATTTTCCAAATGATACTCTTTCATGGATAGATGTTAGAGATGTAGCAAATGCACATATACTGGCATTTGAGAATCCTTCAGCTTGTGGAAGATACTGTTTAGCTGGGAAACTTTTACACTCTTCTGAGGTTGTGCAGATTTTACAGGAGCTTTACCCTACTCTTAATCTTCCTCAGAAGTAAGTCTCTAGTGCACAAGTATTTTATGTCATTATATGTATCTCCTCTCCCCTCTCCATATTTCACTGCATATAGCTTGTATTTAAATTATATTTTTTTTCAGTTTTTTGGTGGATACTATGACCTAATAAGTTTATTTCCCTTTTGACAATAATCATGATACTGCATTTAAAGATCATTGAGAATTGAGATCTGAAACGAATATACTCGTTTCCGCTCAAACTTGTTGCTGCCTTTAAAGGCCAAGTGTTAAACATGTGATTTGGCAATTGGCAAATTCCAATATTATCTTGTAGTCCTTGTTTTCAGGTTAGAAGAATTTGGGTGGTCTCATTTCATTGATAGAGTTGTTTTTCCTTCGAACCTAGAGTTTAGATCAGTTAGTTTAGCAGGTCTTGGTTCAAAACCCAACACTTATAATCTCTTCCCCTATCCTCTATCCCCAGGTTGCTGCGACTTCGTTGCCCAAAAAATAATTGTTTTTCTTTCTTGGATTAGTCTGGCAGACAATGTACATATAGCTAAACTTCAGTTTTGATGTCTCTAATTGGTCATGCTAATTGCTGTCAGTCAATTGCGACGGTAGATTTCTATGAAAACAACATGCTTTTTGGTTATGGCAGATGTGCAGATGAGAAGCAATCCAAGCCATCATTTCAGATATCCCTGGACAGAGCGAAAAGTCTAGGCGTCAACTTTACTCCATTGGAGGTGAGTTTAAAGGATACAGTTGAGAGCTTGAAGGAGAAGAACTTCTTTAGTGTCTGATTCATGGAATGTACCAACCCGTCAATCATATTACTGTTATAAAGCTTGGGATTCCCCCTCTAGGGTCCGGTGTAGTGGAAGTGCTTCCCCTTTGAATATCGAATGGACAGAACGTATTGACCGCACCACTCATCCAAACATAGCTTTATTCATCATATAAGGTGACGCTAAGCATTTTGCAGTGAAGTCTGCCTAATACCAAAAGCTATCAGACTTGACTTATTACTTTTTTTTTTTTTTTTAAATATCTTTAAGAAATAGACATTATTGTATATATGATAAAATATTTGGAACATATTCATATGTAACACAAAGTACTTTAGGTTATCGTACAATAATTTTTAATTATTAAATTTAAGAGTCGAATAATTTATTAACAAATTATACGATTATATAAATATATGTTTGGTAAACAATTTGGTTCATTCAAAACAAATCAAATCTTGTCCAAGATCAATTGCAATGTTGCATTACCTGGTAAATTTGGCAGGTTAGAAGTACAACGTTAACAAGCAAATATGGATTAGTAAAACATTTTAACCACCTTTCACTTTTGACTTATGGTAAATCCATAGACAGGATCATATGCCAAATCAAATATATATATATATATATATATAGTATTATCAATTGCCCTAGTATTATTTTTGATAAGGCAAAAATTAAAATAGTGTTGATAAAGTTGATCAAATTAAAAAATCCCTTTGACTTACTCAATTTCATTTTTTCATAAGATATTAACAATTGTAATTTATTCAATTTGAATTTGAAATAATTTATAATCGAATTATTCGAAAGATTAATATAAAATAATGTGAATTTAAATCGATATAATTTTACAATTAAAAAATTTTGTATATGATTCTCGAATGATAATAGTGAGCGTCAAACCTCAATAACGTTAACATAGTAATTTTTTGCCGAAAGAATCCGACCCGGTCGGCAATTGCTACCTTAAAACATATAATAATGCAAAGTGCCAAGCACAACAGACAACCAATGCCACAAACTTACAAAAAGGTAGTAGTGGGCTTGGATATTTTATAAACGCAATTACTTATATATTTGAAAAGAAGCATGCAAGGGCATAGGCCAGGAGTTGGGACAGTCAAAGAGCAACAAAGATGAGTGAAGCAGAGAAGGTGGTATGTGTAACAGGAGCATCAGGTTTCATAGCTTCCTGGCTTGTAAAGCACTTGCTGCAACGTGGCTACACTGCAATGCCACTGTTCGTGACCCAAGTCAGTGCCAACTTTTCCCTTCTCCTTTTTTTTTTTTGGTTTACTATCAAACTAGGCACTTTCATGCATCAAATTTCTTGTGATTATCTATTTCTTTTTGGGTACTTAAAAGGATTTTGAGTTACGTAATGGGAGATACCTTCATTCCCACCCGGTCTATCTCAGGATTAGAACCCGAGAATTTGAAGTTCTGACTCTTAGGGTGTAACTTATGGGGACACTTGTGAAAATCTTTCATTGTATCTTGTGTTATCATTTGTGAATGCATGGTTCTTGGGGTTGTCAATTATACAGCAGGAATGTAGGCCTATGATCCCAGTTTAAAAAATTTATAGGTTTCCGTCGTTGTTAAGGTTCTTTACTTTGTGGGATACTTTTTCTTTCCAGAATTAAAAATCTAAATGACAGAAAATTATGAATTTTGGGTTATGTGTTCTTGTAACTTGTCTGGTTGTTTTAATTATAGATGAGAGAACCTTGGTCAGGGTTTGATTGATTAAGAGGTTAAGTGTACTCATTACGGAAGAAATGAGTAGAGTTTTTCAATTTACTGCGCAAGTCATTGCGGTGCCCTGACTTATGCTGCTTTGATCCTGTGTTTGTTTTAAGAAATTGATTAAACTATGTAGATTTCATTCTTTTGATTATACTGATCCTTCTTAGCCAACTAACAAATTGGGTGTTGGGAAGAGAGACATGTTCTATGTAAGTAGTCTTTCATTTTATCTATTCATGTAAATCTGATGTTTTATCCCCTTTCCTCCATTGTTTTTGTGATATCTTTGAATTGCCACATTCGTTTATTGATGCCTTGTGGAAAAGTATGAACCAAGCAATAAGTTTTTATCTCGTTATTTGTTTATGATGTCTTTGGCTTCGGGTGGAGCTCAACTTTAATGAGATCTGCAGATGTAATATCCACCACTGTGCTTCGGGTTGAAAGAAACTTTATCAAAGAAAAAGAATAAAAGGAAAGCAAGCAAGTTTTGTTTTCTTAGAAATAAATTATTCAAAACTGAAATATTTTATCTTTTCTTGATGAAATTGCAAGGATTCATCCTTATTTATGCTAATCACTCCATGAACCAGCAGCCTGATTTGGCTATTTGGCTATGTGGTTTGCTAACTATTGAACACTATTCAAAATTTAAAAATTACCTTTTTAATACAAAAATGTGTTCATAAGTTGGATATCTTTCTCTCCAACTTATTTTGTGCTTATATTCTTAGATGATAGGAAGAAAACGCAGCACTTGCTTGCACTTGATGGAGCAAACGAAAGGCTTCATTTGTTCAAAGCAGAGCTTCTGGAGGAGGGATCTTTTGCTTCTGTGGTTGAAGGCTGTATAGACGTTTTCCATACAGCATCTCCTTGTTATTTTGATGTCAAGGATCCGAGTAATTCTCCCTATGATTTCTGGTTAAGATTGAAAATATTTACAATTGGTTATTAGTCATAATTGCCAAAACAGTTGCTGATTTTTTCGAGATCCAATGAAATGTGTCTGGGCCAACATTTATTGGTACTGCAGATTATAGCTTGACAAACTACAGTAGCCAAATTGGCTTGTCTGCTACATGATTGAACTTGTTTTTCTTACACAATTTTATTATTTTATCCTTGGTTTTATGCAGATGTTGTTAACTTTTCTATAAGCATTATTTTTCCCCTTTTATTTTCACTGAATGTTTCTTTGTAGATTTTATATAGTGTTAATATTCTGAACTTGCTCTGGTTTTGCTCAAAAATCTTAGCTGCCTAAATGCTGGAAATAATGACACTGTAGACTGTGAATTTTGATTCAGTGTTGACTTGTTAATATTTTCACTGAACCAATGGCATAATAGAATGCTGATAATTTCATGAATTGTGCACTTCTGTTTCCAGCCTGAAATGATTGACCCTGCAGTGAAGGGAACACTTAATGTTCTTCAATCCTGTGCTAAAATTCCTTCCATCAAAAGAGTGATTATAACATCCTCTGTTGCAGCACTTGTGTTGACTGGAAAACCTCTGGGTGATGATGTTGTAGTTGATGAGACATGGTTCTCAGATCCTGTTATTTGTGAGAAATCAAAGGTGTATAAATGTGCTAATTTTTTTTTTTTAGTGGACCATCTAATTAGTTGTACCTTTCAGAATGTGAAGGAGCTTTAGGCCAATGCAATTATTATGCACCGCTGATATGAATTAACTGCCTGTTTGAACTAGAGCCTTGATAGGCTCCTCTATTTTTCAGGAAGGATGTATGCAAATTCTTTTTTTCCTTTCCCTTTATCTTCTGGTTATTCTTTTGTCTTGCTCTGAAGTAATAGTTAAGAGTAGGTTTATTCATCAAGGCTCCTGGTATAAGTTGTTGCAACAATCTATCAAGCTTTACGACCATCTGAGTATTTCTTTGATTTATATCAGATGAATATGGAGTTTTTGACTCTTAATGGATGCTTTTCACATGTATGACTAATTGTTGAAGTTATTTAAATAATTTGACTACTCTATGTGAAGAATTTAGTCTTAGAAATTTCTCTTTTCACTGGATATGAGAAATCAAAACTATTGACATTAAATTTCAAAATTTATGTTGATATTGAATATGCTTTGCACTTATTTTATTTTTCATTTTTTGTTAATCATGGTTCATATTCTGTTTTCATCAGCTTTGCTATGTGCTTTCTAAGACCTTAGCTGAGAAGGCTGCTTGGAAGTTTTCAGAAGAGAATGGTATAGACATGGTCACAATAAACCCAGCGATGGTGTGAGGACCTCTTTTGCAGCCAACTCTCAATTCAAGTGTGGAGCCAATAGTGAACCTTATAGGTAGTAACCTCCAACCATCAGTAATACTATGGTTTAGCTTGGTTATCGATAAAGTGAACATGGTAAAGAATAATGGAATTGCAGATTGTATTCCTTGCTTAATTTTCTGCTTTAGCTTGTTTCTTTATTTGTGTGTGAAGAAGGCAGCAATCGGCACAAAGCCAAATATGAGTCTGAGCATGATTAAGTCAAAAATAAATTGCAAGAAAAGCTTATTTGTAAAATTAGTGAAAACTGAAAAAACTAGAGATATAATCTAAAGTTCTTGCAAATCTGCCATGAATTCCTAGAGCTTGGACAAAAAGAATGACTATATTATCACTCCTTACTGCCTTCTTTTTGTTATGAACTGGGAGCATTGCCAGGCAGTATCATGCTGTATGCTCCTTCATTTTATTGTTTTATAGCCAGCCTATTTGTTGGATCTGTTAACATATGTGATCAAATTAAGTGTACTAGATCATGAGGCTTGTCAAGCGATAAAGTCATTAAGTTTTCTTAGTCTCTTGAAGTGTTTGAGTCACTGGAGGGTTTGTTTGTTTGTTTTTTTTTTTTTTGGGGGAGGGGGGGGGGGTGTACTGAAAGCACCGCGTCTGAAATTTTGTGGAAGAAGCAGCAAATTAGAGCCCAAAACTCTGCAAACCCAGTTAGTAAACTGATCAAATTCATATAAACCCGGGTTCAGACTTTTTTTTTTTTAATTTATTCACAATGTTAATGGTTATTATTGTCTTGTTTTAACAAATCGGTAATAAACTACTATGAGAAATGCTTTTGTTCATCATCTTCTTTATCTCCTTGCAAAAACCATTATGGCATGCTACTTTGCTTGTGACTGTTTAGTATTTCTTTGCATGAGAGAGTGGGAAGGTCCTTGTTTTTTTCGAAAGCAAGAGAAACGGAAAAAGAAACTTATCTAGAGTATTCTCTTTATCTAGGCAGCTTCTTGCAGAATGCAAGCATAAAGTAATCAAGGTCAAAACATAGTATCTAGATGATATAAATCCTTTTCTATGAAGGGACCTACCTAGTTCTTCCTCTTTAACATAACTTTTACTTGATGCGGGGGCTGAAACATTTCCAAATACAACATGTAGATGGGTAGATTTTAAGAGATGTTGCAGATGCGCATGTACTTGCATTTGGGAATCCTTCAGCTTTCGGAAGATACTGTGTAGCTGGGAAACCTGCATGCTATTCCAAGGTCTTGAAGATTTTATGGGAGCTTCATCCTGCTCTCAATCTTCCTG